ATAAATAATGTTGTTGTGCTGTTCCTTTGCTAATTCCATACTTCAAAGTTTGAATGCCTTAATATTTTTTTTCTTAATTTTCCTCTACATGTAATGATTTACAGTTCATCCGTTATTTTTGTCTACAGTAGTGGGAGCCGCAGAGCCACGACCAATGCAAGGAAATTTGATGAACAATGGAAGCCATGACACATCCAATGACATACAGAAATTGCAACAAGAGCTGCAGGACATCAAAGAACAAGTAAGTACCCTCAAATTTAATAAGTTTCGTTTATCTATTATTTAAATTTTCTTTAACTTTGTTTTTGACTGCTGTCTATCTATTTTCAGACTATGTGCCCTGTCTGTCTTGACCGGCTTAAAAACATGATATTTATGTGTGGCCATGGAACCTGCCAGATGTGTGGAGACCAAATGTCAGAATGTCCAATATGTCGAAAACCAGTAGAAAAGCGGATTCTCTTGTATCACTGATCAACAAGATTTCGGCATCGGTCCTCGCAGCGACTGATGCCGAATTCCCGGAGCCACTCTGCGGACAGGCCCCAGCTGCGAAATGCAGTTTTACATGCCACTGTTGAGAGAACAATGACTCTCAATAGAAGAGTTCTTCCTGCAGGACGCATTCCAGTTCCTCCCCCTCGTGTTCCTCCATTGAAACCAAAGGAGCTGGTGGTGAAACTGCCTCCAAGCGCCAATGATTCATAACAGACATTTATCTGAACATTCAAAATGATTTGTAAGGACCTCTTAGCCAGATATAGTGGTGAAGATACCTACAGTGTATACATACCTTATCCAGGATCCTTTGAAAAGAACACCACTCATTATAAAAACTTCGGGATAGTCATTTATTAGTGTTGCAGAATATGACGAGAAATTTTCTGCCTTTGAGGCAAGCATAATAATTATTTTCAAATGTAAATGTGCTCATTCAAATATTTAAAAAGTACTCTATTGTCCTTTGATAGCAATTTTTTTTCTTTTCTTTTTTTAGTGCTCTTATGTAACACAAATCGATTTGAGCAAGTTATATAGTAATTTTATTCCTTGTTGTATTTTGCTGGTTTTATAATCATGTTGTTTTTGTGATCTAGCTTTGTTAAAGAAGTTATGATATATGCTTGTGGTAAATTCACACATCTCATTTCACAAAAGAAAAAATGAATTTTCAAGGTCTTCTCATTGTTGAGTTTTTATCAGTGCCTTTTTGTATTCCTGTTGACTTTTGTTTCAGTAAAACCTGTAGATTATAGTGAACTTTTATGCTAAATCATTAGTTTAATTCTTTTCTTGGAAAGTTTGGATTGATGGTGATGATGTATTAAAGCCTTATTTGACGTGGAGCACTATCTCTTACATTCATTGTGAATTCAAATATTTGACTGATAAAATGTTTGTGTAAACCTTTAATTATAAGAGATTTTATAT